CGCCCGACTTCTCCCCATCCTCCTATTACTCTTAGTTCATACCGTTCCTCCGACGTCATCCGGGGTGACGACCCGTTTTTTTCGTTGGGTCATCATGCATCCCCATCGTTCAGTCGTCAGTTATTCCGCCGACGACTCCCGACACTCAGTCCCGTCGGTGGCTCCGGACACTCAGTCCCGTCGATACCCGTCCCGCCGGTGGTTCTGCTGGTGCCGCAATTTTTCCCCAGTCTCACGTGGTCCTCGGCACTTCGCCCTGCCGACACCATGTCTTTCCTCGGTCTCACGTGGTCCTCAACACTTCGCCCTGCCGACACCACGTCTCTTCGAGGTGTTCCTACCATCTTTTCTCCTTACGGCGGTCTTCTCCCCTCGTTCTTTTCGCACCTCTCCCACCGTTTCTTCCCCGGACGCGGATCTCAGATTAGCTTGTGGCCCCCTCGACTTTTTTGTCGCTACGTCCTAGTGGTCCACCTGACCCGTCTACCTTTTCTCATGTCGGCACCCCGCGTCCAATGGGACCCGCGTACGTCCTATGTCATCACTATTTCCTTGCAGTCCTCTACCGCCTCCCGTTTCATCAATTTCTACTTGGCTCATTGGTCCTAACGACTTCAAGCCGCATCGGGATTCCTCGCGCCTGCGCCTGTGCCTTGATCCTCCCATCCTTCTTGCATCCGATTTTCTCTGCCGTGCACAAATCGGCCATATATAGTCTCTCGAGTGGTGGGAAGTTATTCGAGACTCACCAGTCCCGACATATTCCCCTCACTCATTCGTGATGTCCTCATCGCGCACCAATCTATAGTTAGTGGGGATTTTGGAGTGATAGACAGACGGAGAGGGGGGGTGGTGGGTGGGGTGAGTTGGTTAGTTAGCTTGTCAGGGTTCTCTTTGTCTTTTCCCATTCTTTTCTCAGGTCTTTCTTTAAATTTTCGCCCCTTGGCGCGGGCGAGGGTATGGGGGAGTCGAGGTTCTTCTTCGGCTTCTCTTTTCTCTCACAGCTTAGACCAGGTTGCTCATTTCAATCATAGCTTTGCCTCTTTATCTTTCCCTCAATCGCGACACGACCTTCCTCTTTAGTCAACTCTGTATACCCAGCAGGGTAACCCATAATTCTTTCGACTTCAGTAACATGAAGCAGACGAGACTCTGCCTGCTTCATGCACTTAACGAATGACATGCTCGCTTTATTCCCTGGGTGACAATTTGTTGTCATGACACAATTGGTTTTCTCATTATATGCCTTGGAATTGTTCATAGAAAATTGTAGACAAGTTTTCGGATGTGACTTAACGTCAGGCATTTGCTCCGGACGGGGGATGTTCGTCCAGTACAACTGCCGCCTTTACTGTGGTGATACCCACTTCGAATTGATGAACACAGGCACAACTTCCCTTAAGTGCTTCGTAATCTCAAATTTATCTTCCCATTCCATTGAGGAAGCACTCTCAAACATACAACATTTGGATTTCATCCAATCATCACTCTTAGAACATCCACCGATGTTTTGCTTTTTTCGGCCTGTGCAATCCACATCTTCAATTCCCTCCCCCCCGAGGCTCAGACATAGCCAAATCCACATACATTCTTCCCGGGTTATTCTTCCCGACTTTTCTCAGGTTCTGCCAATTCCGCATGCATATCATTCTCTGTCCGTTCTTGCCCTTTGCTTAATTGGCTTTCCATGTACAAAGCTTGACTCATTCCTTGTATATTTATTTTTTAGACGCCTTGTCAGGCCTCCTTCTCAAGTCCATACAAGCCAATTACTCATCCATTTCTCATCCTGCCAATCCTTTTCTCGGGTCCATGCAAGGTCAATCATACCAATTTTTTCTTCCCCAGTCATCTTGCCGGGTCCTTTTCTCAAGATCACATTTATCACTTGCTCAAGTCTTTTCTGCTCTGGCTGTCCTGCCAGACCCCCTTTTCTCAGGCCCATGCTGACTCAATCACAAGTTTCTTTCTTTCCTGGCGTCTTGCCAGACCTCCTTTTCTCGGGTCCTTGCAAAACCCAATTACAAGTCTTTTTCCATGCGTATTTATTGGTAGATGACACACCTTCCCCCCACTCAAAACGCAATGTCCCCATCGCACGACTGGTTCTCACTCGGAGGTACGCAAATCTTTGGCCCGCCGACCGCAAATCAAGGACACAAGCCCATCCGCTTCACAAAAGGAGGAGTGATCAGTTCCTCCCCAGCGGGCGACGCCTCATCCTTCTACCTGGTCCGACCTTTCTTCTCTTACGTGGCGAGCGCCAATACGAAGGTTCCTCCTCACGTCTGTCAGGCCGGTCCAATCCAAGCCTGTAAGGGCCTCGTCTAGCCGTAAGAGTGTTCCTCGCGAATCGTTCCTCCCGAGTGGTGATTTTCTGGATTTTGGCCTCTTTCTTTCAAGACAGTTGGGGCTCTCAATCAGTCCGCGAGTGCAGTTACGAAGACCTCGCAATTAGTCCCGAAACGGTTGTAATGTTCCGGCAGAGCACTGTCAATGCCCCGTGGTGGTGGCGGACTCCACCCGATACCTCGCCCAACCTCTCCCCTTGGACAATGCCGCCCAACTTAGCGCGGACAGCCGTGGTCCGATCCAAACGGCCATGCCACCTCTCTATGACATGGTGTGTGGTTGAAGAGTAGCAAAATAGACTTAGATGAGAATGACTCTCTTGCCTTTTGACGTTTAGGCGTTCAGCAAGAGGCGCAGTTTGAACTCCCCAACTAGAGCTCATTGTCGGGGTTGGTTCCGGACGACCGTCACTGATCCAAGTGGTAGGTGCCTTGGTCCTTTAATCCGCATCCCCTTGAAGAGGGACAGGTCACACTGAGACTTTTTTCCTCAAGGGATAGAGGTCTTGGGGTCGCGGTGCATGCACCGGTATCCCCCTCTTGCTGAGGCCAAAGACTAGAAGAAAGGAGAAATTTCATTTCCATATCCATTCCATGGTCGGCCCGACGACCTTTCTTCCAAGTTGCCTAGGGTCCCCTGTTTATGCAATGCAATTTCCAATACTCAATCCAATTCCAATGCTCAGTCTCCTTCCCATGCTCAATCTCAGTCSAGTGCTCAATGCAATATCTCTTCCAGGGCTGAGTCCAATATCTTTTCCAAGACTGAGTCCAATATCTTTTCCAAGACTGAGTCCAATATCTTTTCCAAAGCTCAGCTCTTCCAATATCATGCATCTCAAGCAGCCATGCAAGGGGACCCCAGTGCCAATTCCAAAGAGTGATCCTTGTCAGGGACCATTCCGAACAACCTGGTTAGGGTCGTTCTTTCCAATTCCAAGTCGAACAGCCTGGTTAGGGTGATTCTTATCCATTGCAATCGGACAACCTGGTTAGGACCATCCTTATCTATTCCAATTGGACAGCCTGGTTAGGACCATCCTTGTCCGTTTCAATTGGACAGCCTGGTTAGGGCCATCCTTGTCCATTGCAATGTTAGCGCCCGAGGGGGGGGGCCTCGATGACACTTATCCTATCTGGTCTCGGGGGTTAGAAAGCGGCCATCTTCTTGGGTTTTTACGCATGCTTCTTCCTCTTCCTCATAGCATTTGTCATTCTTATGTCCATTCATACATCCGACTTAGCGTCTAGTACTCAAGCTGAGGGTTGCAACCTCAAGCAGCACTAGCCCGCCCGGTCGTTCAACCATTGCAAATGGTGTGTGTCCTCACTGTTTTCTCTTTCTCTGATTCGCATGTGTCTTGCTGTTCTGGACTGATGTGGGACTTGTTGGATTAGGCTCCTAGGGAGGAGTGTTCTTCACACCTCTTCACCCATAAGTCCCCTAACCTCTCCCAAGGACTCGTGCAACGACTCATTCAATCGTGGATACGCAATTTAAAAGAAAAACTCTCACCATTAATTTTTCTTCCAACCTTCGATAGTTCACATGCCCTTGCCCGTCTTAAAGTTAATCATCCCAGTCCCTTACCACAAAAAGACTCCCATCTCCCGAAAGGATCAAGTACTTATACAAAGTAGCACTAGTCACCCATCCTTTAACTAACATCCTTAGCCCAAAGGTAGTTACGTCGCAGTCCGTCCAAAAAAATGAGGAGACAAAGTTCGAATGCAAAGACAACATTACAGACTCGTCTCAACTAGATCCCTCTGTTTTCCCCTTGCCTTTCCCTTAGCCAACCCAACCATCCACAGTTCTATCCTGAGTGCACAAAAAACTCTCGTGCCCTTCCCTTAAGAAGCAACCACTCGTACGAAGTAGCACTGAATGCCCAGTCCTTAGTCATCTCGAGCTTAGAAAGTTATCCCATCTCAATTCATTCAAAAAGGAACTCAAGTGCGAAGTTCAAAATGACAGTTCTGACTGCCCAGGTACCATCCCTCCCCAATTTCTAGCTCGCCCCCATTATGCCTATTGTCCCCTTTACTGTCCCGCTGCCCCGTGCCGAGCCTCCCTTCTTGCTCGATCCTCCATTTCCTGCTACATTTGTCTCTTTATTCCCTGTAACTGAAGGAGCGTCCCTTCCGAGAAGAAGGTCGTTGGGGATAAGTCCCCTCCCCTGCTCAGCTTTTCCCTGCCCTTCATCGCCCATTGGTATTGTAAGATAGCGCCCCATTGATCAAACCAATCGCTGAAGGTTGGCCCGAACTCTGTTATCCATTTGTCCTTTTCTTTCCCTGAATCCTCCTCCTTTCCCTGAATCCTCCTCCTTTCCCCGTTCTTCCCTGGTGGGTGTTGTCACCTCATCCTCTTCTTCCCCGCTGCTGAGATCTATGACCTCAATAGGCTCCTCCTCCTCCAACCTTTGCCTTTTCCCCGGGTTCCTCTCTTCCTCACTGCTGGTATCGCTTTCAGAGGGGAGGACTATCGGCTCCCCTTCTCTCAGTGGCGACGGTCCCCCGGTCCCTTGTTTTTTGCCCCCTCTGTTCACAACCAGATTGTGATCAAATCCCACATACAATTTCCTTTTCCTGGAGCTCGATTCCCCAGCCTGCCTTGATGGCTGTCCCCCAGTAGGCCTGTTGATAGCGTTGCTATCGTTTTCATTTCCAAACTCTATTTTTTTGTCTTTTTCTTAGTGTCTTCTTCTTGCCTGCTCCTGTCCATGCACAACAGTCACCCCAACCCCTCATACGCACACACACCCTTCCCATTCCCATTTGCCGATTTGCAAGCCTTCCCAGAACCATTGCTTGCCCTCATGCGGTTGGCGATCCCATCATCCCTTTGACCCTTTGGCACTTTGCCCCCACACATAGGCACCCCATGTAGACGGTCCCCAGAGTTGTCCCACAAAAACTATAGTATATTTCGGGCTTCCATCCTCATTCACACTCAGCCCAGGCAGTCATCCTACGTCCCCCCGGAAATAAGACACACAAACGAGCAACCCCTGTGCTCATGAACACTACCACAGGAAGACGGTCCACACCCATAACCGGCGGTTTGCCTTTCAAGCTGCCAAATCCTCTGTTTCCTCGTCATGAGCCTCTTGTAACCATTGTTCCACAGGATCCCTGCTCAAGAACCTGACCAACCTTTGTCCCGGGAATGACCCCCTTGTGCTAGTGCCATCAAGGTCTTCAAGTTCGAACGTGTTCAGTCCTACCCGCTTGGTGATCCTGTAAAGCCCTTTGAATCTCCTTCCCAACTGCCCAGACCATGTGCTTTCAAGGGTCGAATTCCTGACTAGCACCTTTTCCCCCACATGGAGCGGCTCCTTACGAATGTTCTTGACCTGGTCCCACCTTGCTTTGTCCCTCATTCGACTATCCATTACACGGTTAACTACTTCCTCCAGTGCCTCCTCATTCCTGGCAATTTGCTGGCAACGTGCGGTGATTAACTCTTCTGTGGTCAAGTGCGGGTCGTCATCTAGTCTGTTCCAGGTGGGAATCAGGGCCTTTACTAGGAAATCGATCTCCCTTTTATACCATAGTTCCGCTGGAATGCATCCCGTCGTTCTCTTTGGTGTCACGTTCTCAGAAAAGACTTCCTGTCTAAGGTACCGCGGCCAATTTCCCAAGTCATCTGCGGCGAGCTTAACGATTGTATTTTTCAAGGTCTGGTGCCCCCTTTCTACTGGTGCATTTGCCTCAGGATGGTAGGGCTCAGTAATCTTGATTGGTACACACAATATCTTAAGCCTGTTCAACACCTCCTGGTTAACGAATTTTGTCCCATTATCTGCTATAAACCTGTGCACTGAGGGGTGTCTTAGGTAGAAGTCTTCCACCCAATCGGCCACTGCTTTCCCTGTCTTCCTCTTGAGAGCTACGGCCTCTACGTAGCCACTGAGATTGTCCCTTGCATCCAATATGTATATAAACCCAACCGTTGATACGGGCATAACCGCAAAATCGAGGTGAACAAGGTGCCCGAGTACAAGTACCCGAGTGGGTCTAAGGGGTTCGTAAACCCGTGCGGAGCTCCTCTCTTGACATATCAGACACGTTTGACAGTACGTTGCGACCATGCCTGCCATTCCTGGCCAGAAATACAAGGGCACGATCTTTGCAAGTGTCCCCTTTGACGACCGGTGACCTCCAGCTAGCCCATCATGCATTGCCTGAATTACGTCCAGCTGCCTAGACCTCCCACAAACGACACGCCTAGGCATCATCCCTTCCTCTTTCTTGAACAGGTGAGCGTTTCTTAAGACATACTTCTCAGCTTCCTCCCTTGCCTTGGAGCTGACTTCCGTGGGTTGTTTGTTCCATACAAGCAGCAAACCGATTTCTCTAAAGACGCCCTCATACATCTGTATGAGGAAGAATTCTTGTTCCTTCTGATCTGTATCCTGCTCCTCCCGAGTCTGGTTGACTAAGTACTGACACTCCTTCTGCGCCTAGGTTTCGGCCAACGTCATCACGGCGTCCCGTCCCCCTTCCACGACCATTGCCATCGGTTCCTCTCTGGCCCCTACTTCTGCTCCCCACGAGTCCTTTTCCTCTTTGCGCCTGACTGTGGTGACTGGTCCTTCCCTGAGTTCTGCGACTACTGCAGGCGCGCCCTTTTCCAATGTCTGAATCAGCAACTGACCTGTTGTAAGCACTGAGTCGGCCATTTCGTTATCCACAACAAGGGCCCCCCCTTCGCATTCTAGGAAGACATCAATTGATTCCGCATCCTCTACTCTCTCTGGCATGATACATACCCTGCTCAGCCCATCTGCCCTGTTTCGAAGCCCCGCAATTCGCTCGACCTTATAGTCGAATTGCCATATGAAGCCTATCCATCTGCCGACGGTTGGATCTATAGGTTTGTAATTCTTTAGAGCCCCGACGACGTTGGTGGGATCGATCCTTAGGATAAATCGCCTTCCAAACAGGTATGCCTGGAAGGTCTTAAGGCAATGCAGGATCGCTAAGACCTCCTTCTTGAACTGTGAGTACAACTGTTCTGCTGAATTCAGGGTCCTACTTTCAAATCTCATTGGTCTTTCCTTGCCCTCCTCGTTTTTCTGTATCAATACCCCTCCTACTGCCATTGGTCCGCCATCTGTTTCTAAGATGAAGGGCCGTCCTGCTTCGTCATTGAAGTAGGGTGCCGCTAAAGTAACCTGATCGGAAGACAGGATATCTTTGAAGGTCTGGGCTGCCGCCTCCCTATCCTCAGTTCATTCCATAGTACCCCATTCAGTGATCATTGCGCGGATAGGCTCAACTATCTTTGCAAATCCTTTGATGAAGATTCTCCAGAATCCGACCACCCCTAGGAAGGCTCGTACTTCCGTTGTGGTGCGCAGGGGTGTTGGTCATTGAGAAATCTTATCCGTCTTTGCTGGGTCGAGTTTCCTTCCATAGGCCCCACAACGAAACCCCAGTATGGTTACTTTCGGGACGACTATGATGCTCTTGGGTCCGCTTGCAGTAATATTAAAAACTAGGAATTGTTGGAGCAAGTCCTTAATATCCTGCAAGTGGTCCCAAACAAACTTCCGTACGCCCGGTTGGACCTTCGCCTCGTCCTTGTAGCTTGCGCCTTTTACGGGATTATCATCTATATAAGGTTCACACTTTTTCGGAAACATATCCCCTGCAACGGCGAGCATCCTCCTCTGCGCTTCTGCTACCGCATTTGTGAAGCCCATAGGGGTCATTTGCATCTGCAACTGCCCTACAGGGGTGTGCATTGCGGCATACGGTCTATGCCTCGCATCAAGTGGCAACTGGTCGTATCCTGAGTACAGGTCTATGAGGGAATAAATGCTCCGCCCAGCGTGAGATTCGGCAAGCAAGTTCGTCTGTGGGAGCGAGCCTGCATCCCTAATTATTACCGCATTGAGCTTCTGCAAGTCCTGAATCCAACTGAGCGTCTTGTTGGGCTTCCGAAAAACGAACCATTTGTTCGCGTAAGGGGATGCGGTGGGCTCAGCCACGAACGAATCATCTTGGCCCTAAGCAGGTCAGTGACTTCCGCTGCTATCCCAAACTCGTAGGCAGACCCTTTATCATTCCAGCATTCATGCTCTACCGTGTTAACCCTAACCGGAGGAACTAGCTTCGCGTCCAACCGCCCTTTCTGGTGATCATTGAAGGCGAAAGGTAAATGAAACTCCTGACACGCCTTCCTTATCAACTGAGTTTCCTCTGCTGTTAGAAACCCTTTCACTCCTATTTTCATGGTATCTGCTACCTCGTCTGGTATGCGATGCCCTTCCGTTGCCCGCCTCTCCCTTATAACCCGTAGGATCTCTTCTTCTTTTTCCATGGCCTCTKCCCTTGATGTTTCTACTAGGATCGAGACCGGCTTGGCCTTCTTCCCTACAGGTTTGTACTTTCGCACACTCCCTTCTGGGATTGTTCTCCTAAAAAATGAACGGTCGGGATTGGCCTTGCCACCTCCAGGGCACGGGGTTGAAGACTGACAACCTTCTCATTGAGGCAGTAGCCTTTCTGAATTTCTTCTTCAAATCTTGCAAGTGTTGTCGGATCTACCCCAACTTTATGGTATCTAATAGTTTTGATGAGCTGCAGGAAGTCAGGGATTTCGAGTACTACTTCTGTGGTTTCCTTCCGTCCCTCCTTTGGCTTGGGCAGGCTGACCCCAAGTTCAATCTCCGACTCCTTTTCTGCGAGCATGACTCCTAGGACCTCGTCCTCCTGTCTCCTTTTCTTTAGAGACAGACCCATTTTGATCCATTCCTTTTTGCTAAAC